CATATAGAATGGAACATATATTGAGGAGATATGTGTGTATATATATCTCCTCAATATATGTTCCATTCTATATGCATCCGAAGAAGTGGGCTGTAGTCCACGAAAGCTTATGCTCTAATAAATTTGTTAGTCTCTAAGGTGCCACAAGTACTCCTGTTCTTCTTTATGCTTATTTATATCCTCCCAGGGCCCTGCTGAAGTCAATGGAGGTGCAAAGGGTGTAAATCAGCACAGAATTTGGACCCAGGCTTGCTGATTTCATCCTTGTCTCCACTGGGAACATGCACCCTGCTAGAAAACCTAACTAATACGTTATAATTAGAGAGAGAAGGTGGGTGAGGTAATATCTTTTATTGGACCAACCTCTGTTGGTGAAAGAGACGAGCTTTCCAGCCACACACAGCTCTTCTTCAGGTCTGGGAAGAAGAAGAAGTCTGTCTGTGTAGCTTGAAAGCTTGCTTGTTCCACCAACAGAAAGATGGTCCAATAAAATATATTACCTCACCCACCTTGTTTCTCTAATATCTTTGGACCAATATGGCTACAACAACACAGCAAATAATGTCATAATTAGCACGTTCTCAGCCTTAATATGGACAAGGACAGTTGTGTTTAAACAGGTGGTAACTGTTTGTGGTCCACACTGAGGCCAAAATCATGTTTAACCCAGTGCTAGTTAACTCACTTTCTGACACAATGCATAGACAAGGCTTGCCAGTGAATTACAAGAAAATAGAGTCCTGATCCAAATTCCACTAAGTCAACAGAGAGACTCCCATTGATTTCGGTGAGTTCTGGATCAGCTCCTAGATTATCTAGATAGCCAAAAACATTTTAGCCAGAAACATCCATTGATTTGTTTCACCGGTCTTGGTCACGCACCTGTTTCTGCAGTGCTTCCACACTGGATTCCACATCGGTAAACAATGACCAGGTGGAAAATGTTACATACCTTTATTTACACTCTTGTCTGGTTAGTAACTATCTGGATAACCTACAGGCTGATCCAAAACCCATTAAAATCAATGGGAGTCTTTCCATTGACTTCAGTGGGCTTTGTGTTAGGCCCCTATTTCCTTGATATTCACTTTACTCTTAAGTCGAAGGAGACACATTACTTAAATGCCTGTGTCTCCATGGAGCGGCTTCACTGAGATCTTTCTCCTTGTCTACTAAGGCCCTAACCTGCCACAGGCTCACACGTAGTAGGCGGTCTCTATGAAATAGCATTTATGATTAGCAACCTGTATTGCTGGACTCAATAAATCCATCAGTACTTTATTAGGGCGCCATCCCCCTTTTGTAGCTGCACTGCTAAATACAATGGTAATAACTGATGCACACCTGGTAAAGCGAACTTCACAGATAGTGCACATGTATGGCTTTTCTCCTGTGTGGGTTCTCATGTGCCGTGGCAGCTTCCCTGCCCCCATGATGACTTTGTTACAGATCGGACACTGCTGAGATGCCTTGGGCTTTATCTTCCTTTCTTCCTCCAGGGGCCATGGAGGAAACACTCCTCCCAGGTGGGTGGCACTTAGAAAGTTGAGATAAGCGCTATAGTCGTTCTCTGCCTTAATGTGCCCTAAGTGACCTCCTGGATTGCCAGCAAACATGTCCTTGAAGAAGTCATTAGGGAAAGGAGCCGGAGGGAGCTCCTCCTTCTCCTCCTCCTTAATCTTCCTCTTTTTGATCACCAGGTCCAAAGGGCCATTGTCCACTTGCTGCTCTTCTAGCTGGGAAAAGGAACTGAAATTTCCATGCCACAGGTGGGGAAAGAAGTCTGGTGTGAAGGGAGATAGGGCTGGCCTCCTTTCTGGAATGTTCGTTTTAGGGTACAAATTTTCCCGTAGTAATGACTCGATGGAAAAGTCTCGTATCATGCCCAAGTGGCCGGCAGAGCTATGGGCTGGGTAATGATGTGGGAAGTCTCTAGGTCCTTCTGTATATGTTTCTTCGGTAAGGTCAGACTTTGAAGGGCTTTGGTGACAGCTTACTTCTTGGACATCCGTGAGGTTCTCCTGATTCACAAAATCTTCCACTTCTTCCTCCTCCTCCTCCTCTTCGTCATCCTCATCTTCTTCGTCATCATCGTCCTCTTCATCCTCTTTATCATCTTCCTCTTCGGCTTCTCTGTCAGGCTCCATGATTTCAAGGCATACATTGATAATACACTGGATCTCCAGCATCTTGGCTGCGTTGAGGATGTGCTTGACGTTGGAGGTGGTGATGGTGAGGGTTGAAGTATAGGCAAACTCTAGGATAGCAGAAAGTGCTTCAGGCTTGACAAAGTCAATCTCGTAAACATAGGGCTGGTCTGTTAAAGTGCCAGTAGTGAAGAGTTTTTTAAAGTACTTGCTGCAGGCTGCAAGAACAGACCTGTGGGTCCTGTACTCCTGGTCCTGGACAATGAGGATGACATCGCAGAGTAGACCATCATGCCGCTGTTCATTTAAACCGCAAAGGACTTCACTGCTGTGGTTTGGGAATGGGATCCCAATAAGATCTTCAATGCCATTGGCCATATTCTCATTTAGAGCCCTAGAACAAAATACAGACAGCAAGGAATTAGAGAGCAGATCTCTGAGTATCCGGAAAGCTGACTGTGCCATGGTCACCTCTTGTCTCAAACACTGTAACCTTCTTCTCTCCTGCTTCCCCGCTTTTTACTTCTCCTCTCTCCAAAATGCTGATCACAAAATCATCTCCTGCTTCCACTGCTCCCTACACATTACGAAGCTATGTGAGAGTCAAACTCCTCAAAGCCCTCCATGATCTCGTCTCCACTTCCCCCTGTGCTCTCTACTTCCTTCCCCCAGTCTTCTCTCCCTTTGTCCCCTCTTTCCACTCTCAGCTTCAGGCCTGCTCTCAGGCTGTTCCTATGCCTGAGACAGCTTCCTGGTTCTTATCCCCATATGCCTTCTCTCCTCCTCCACATCCCTCCTCCAGGAATCCTTTCCCACTGATTTCTCCCCAGTGATGTCTCCTGCATGCTCCCAGACCCAATTTGTTGCCCATGTTCGTGTTGCCTGAATTACACTATGACTATTTACATCACTATCTGAATAAATAAGAATAATAAAAGCATGCCCGGTATTCAATGAATGACATGGCATGACCAGTTTCCTTCCTAACATGCAGTGTTATTAGCACTGTAACACAGCTATCCCATACTGCCAGGGCATGGGATAGACGATCCAATGGACATACACATGGAGAGCAAACAGCAGCATGTTGGGGATGTCCTACTGAACAGAGAGCTGGGAGGACTGGCCAACTGGCTAAGCAGCAAACCCAGTTCAGTGATCCCATCACTTACAGTGCTTACAGGGAAAAAAAACGTGCACCTGCCTTGGCCGCTGGCAAAGGTGAGACATGGTTAGCTGCCATCATCAGTAATTGAGTATTAGCCGTGTGGCTTGTGGGCACTGACCATGTTTAGAACCAACCGTGCAAAGAACTGGGGTCAGAGTTGCGGCGTGGATGGGAGGGGAGATCTAACACTTAAGGCTTTGCCTCTTGGATGCGATGCCTGTATCGCTCACATTTATCTCCAAGAGTATTATCCAATCTACTCTGCTACCGTTCAAAGGCCTCCATCACCCCCCTGTGCAGCTCGTGCTTCAAAAGGGGATTCAGAAGAAAAAAGCCTACACCCAAAACCGAAAACCTGATATTCATGGGTTCCTCGGAGTGTTATCTGTCAGATGTTTCCTCTTTCAAACGGTTCCAATAGAGCTTCCCCTTGCGATATCCCAGAAAACAGGAGACATTTCCTCCAGCTGGCCAGGGATATATTAACACTGTCACATGCAGAAGAGATTTCTAACACAACCAGACTCAGGTTGAATCTATTAACCCCTTGGGAACTCCCGAGACACAGAAAGAGAGAGTGTTAATGCCATTTCATCCCCATGGCCCCAACCTTGCAGTCCTCACTCAGGCAATACTCCCACTGCACAGTTACCAGTGCAGTTTATATCATTTTCTATGGATAATTTTCCAAAGAAGATTTTCCAAAGGCAGGGGAGGACCATCGGGGGGACGGCTACCCACTCCCCTGATGCTGGACAGCCATAGACATGCTGGTGGATGGGAGGTTTCCTCCAGGCACCTCTTCCCACCCAGCCTGCACTGGCTCCTTGTGTCGCTGGATTTCTCCTGCAACCTGTTCCCCACCCCCTGGTCTCTTCTCCTCCATCCAGCCTCAAGATCTCTCTTCTTCCTTCCCCACATTCTACCTCCCCCTGCCCCTTCCTCATTAGCTTTTCCCCCTTTAGCTCTCTGATAGGCTGAGCACCTCTTCAGCTGCCATGTGGAGTACTAGGGTCCCTGCTAGCTGCCGCTCCAACCCAGCACACACTTCCTGCTCCTGGGATCACACAGCTGAGAGGGCAGGGCTGCAGCTGGCTGTAAGAGGTTAGCCAGGGATAGCAGGGGGGCCAGAGATAGCAGCTGGGCCGCCTCCTTCTCCTCACTGTCCCAGGATGTTGGCTTGAATTGGTTAGCAAAGCCCTGGTCGAACCAAACCTGTTGGCTTTTCCTGCGGAAGGACAGCTGGATCTGGTTGCCCTAAACGTTGACCAAACGTTGCTTTTTGGGATGGGAAAGCATCGGAGTGAACCCAGGGATCAGACTTTCCAGCGTGTCTCCCTGTGAGCAGGGGAATTCTCATGCAATGCTGCTTTCCTCCTCCCACCCAGGGAAGATCAATAACCAGCTGAGACCTTGTGGTTATCTCTCCCCTCTTTGCCCACTCCCATGCCCAACAAGCCATTGTTTGGTGGTTACTATGTGGGAGCAGGCAAGCCAAGGCCTTGGGAAAACGATGACATCGCTACTAAGCACCAAACAGCTGCCTCGGGACTACCTCAGGCCCTAAGTCACTTTTTAGCACAAGCCAGCCTGCTCTCCAAGGCCTGTTTTGGAGCAAGCAAATCCCCCACGTCCTCGAGAACTCTTGTTTATATGCAGGGCTGTTCTTTCGACATGAAACAAAAGCAATCGCAGAAAATGGTCAGCCCGTGTGAAAGCACTGCCAGTTAGGAGAGTGCTACACTCTCACGGCAAAAATCTATAGCCAGGTAGCACTTCACTGTTGTCACCGTGCTGTGCCCAAATGAAGCCTCTTGGTGACCGTGGGGATAGAAGTGAGTTCCATCTGCCTCAAAAACACAGGCCCCTGCCACTTGAGGTACAGGAAAACCTCTTTTATGACACAGAATAGCACTGATAACATGAGTAGCAGGGAGTGGTGCACATGCACCAGCCAGTTATGGTGCACTGCTGACACATCTTCCCTCCCGGAATCCCAAAGGGCTTTAAATGCATCAGTGAACTGGGAGACACAACTCTGCTACCATTGTCCCCATTTTACAGACAGGGAAACTGAGGGACAGTGAGCATGACTGGCCTAAGGTCATACAGTAACTTTTTGTCAGAGCTGGAAATAAAATCCAGATTACCTGGTTCCTGGCTAATAGACTTTACAGCCAGATGGGACAATTATGATAATCTAATCTGACCTTGTGTGTTACACAGGCCATAGAACCTCACACAGGAATTTCTGCGTCAGCCCCATAACTTCTGTTTGAGCTAGAGCATCTCTTTTAGAAAGATATCCAGTCTTGATTTAAAGGCTGAAAGTGATGGTTGTAACACGCAAAAAAAACAGGAGTACGGCTGCTACTCTGAAGGTTGTAACACGCTGGCTTGTGTGTACGAGTGAGTGAATGATATTGCTCTGAAGAGGCTGGCCAAAAAGAGAAAACAGGCCCTAATACTACCAGTAGCTACAAGAGGCTTTGGTTAGCTCAAGTGACCGAGGCTCGTGTTCTAGATCTGAAGAATAAGGGTTCTCATCCGAGATCCCTTGATGTGTGTATGATCCAAACTGATCCATGTCTGTTGTTTACAACAAATTGATTCGTTACACAGTTCTGTGCTTACCCATGTTCAGCTAACTAACTTTCCTCACAATTAACCCAACACATCCCATATGACATGCTACAAAATAGCCATTAAAAAAAAAGTAAATCTGCCAAGTTATCCAAGCAGGTGTAAGATAATAAATAGCTTTTAAGGAGGCTGCGAAGAGATGACTTCCTTCTTAAGTATTTGCATCCTAATAACAGTTACAGGGAATGACATTTCCTTTGCCCCATTACCATTTAATTTTTTCTTTTAAAGAGACACCATCATCTTAAAAATTACACTTGTCTAATTTTTTTTAACCTACAACTGGTAACCACTAAGATCACTGTAACTGAGAGAGATTGGAAGAACATATATCAGCTTGTTTATACACACTGTGTGTAGTCAGTCTCACTGGACAGTCAATCAGTTTTCCCTATTTGTTCAGGTCTTTCGTGTAGCAGCAAGGGAGAGAGACAAACAATTCAAAGATAGGGGAAATGTGATTGTAAAATTACAAAAGTTAGCAGGGCGACAGAGGGACAGATGTTGTACCTGAAACTACTTATAACTCACTTTTTAGAAAGAGACTAGATTTCGTTTACTTTAACATTGCATTTCTCTCGAGCTTCATTCTGTTTCTGCCTTACCAAAAGCACGTAGGAAAGCTGATAACATTTCAGGATCCTGGCAGAGCTGAAGGGGAGCCATGTCATTTAAATTAAAAAAAATTATGGACGTGTATAGAAAGGGCCCTCTTATCCAGCCTGGTAGTTTGGCAGCTGTGCAGTTCTGCACTGCTTCACAGGGCAGCAATCCTAGAAATGACCTTAAGATTCTCATGCCCCTAGGGGAAACTGACGCAAGCTGGAAGTGTTCTGAAGTGGACGCTTTCAGCTAAACGCTTTCCTTCCTAAAGCTCCCCTCCTATTCCCGCCTCTTTCACCCCCACCCCAATTAAAGGGTGTTTTCTCCAAGAATAACAGATCCAAAAATAGAACCAGCAGCCTCAGCACATATTCCAACCTACGAATGTCACCCCTTTAAAGAACTGAAAGCGTGCACACACAAAGGAAGTGGGAGCGAGAGACCAAAAACTGATTACATGGGGTTTAACAGAAAAATACATTTTATAATAGAAAATTATAGCATTGTAAAAATAGTGGGTAGGCCGCCTAAAATAACTGCATTCCAATTAAGCTCTGAGTGGTATCTCCAAATACTCTATTTACGAGAGTGCTCAATACTCATTCATCATTTTATTACAACAAAAGCGCAGCTTCTAAAAGCATAATTCTATAATGGTAACATGTTGCATACACAGGACTAAATTTTCTCCCTGTTGTAAACAGGTGCACTGCCCTCAAGGGAGCCCTGGGCCCTGAAGAACGGCTTGTATTAAAAAGGGTCTAACTCCATTGGGAGCACTCATATGAGTAAGGGCTGGGCTCTATAGTACCCGAATCTCAAAAGTAATAATAAGTTCTTTGCCCTTCCATAACAATGTTCGCCTTAGCACCTATAGGTGCTTCACAAACTGATTTCTGGCTGAAAGATTTCTCCTGCAAGAATGCAAGTGACTTGGAATAAAGGAAGCTAAGGGACTGCGGGCAGCAGCTTCTGCTGCT